CAGGGGTCACGCTGCTTTTACACATGATCTTCACAGCGCTTCAGGAGAGCGTGAGGAGTAAAGGTGATCAGGATCAAGCAGAACATCGTTTCATACGCCGTTTCTGAATCTGATGTTGTGGAGAAACAAGGCAGTGTTGATAATATCACCAAAACCTCCAGTAAAAACTATGGCTTTTAGTCGAAGATGACATTACAGGTGAAAATGAAAGATGAAAATATTGTGCAAAAGTTCATTTATTTCAGTAATTCAACTTAAAAGGTGAAATATAGACTCATTACATGCAAAGTGAGATATTTCAAGCCTTTATTTGTTATAATTTTGATGATTATGGCTTACAGCTTATGAAAACCCCAAATTCTGAAAAGGTTTTCATATCTGCAAGCCATAATCATCAAAATTATAACAAATAAAGGCTTGAAATATCTCACTTTGCATGTAATGAGTCTATATTTCACCTTTTAAGTTGAATTACTGAAATAAATGAACTTTTGCACCATATTCTAATTTTTCGAGTTTCACCTGTAATGCTGATTATACTTTAGACTGCAACATATGCCTTTGCGTCCAAACAGACATAAACAAATAAAGATTGGTAACACTTTACAATAAGGTTCATTATTAACATTAGCTAACTAACAATACTTCTACAGCATTAATTAATCTTGGTTAATATTAATTTTAACATTTACGAATACATTAAAATCAAAGGTTGTATTTGTTAACATTAGTTAATGCACTGTGAACTAACATAAACAATAAACTGTATTTTATTAACTAACATTAACAAAGATTAATAAATACTGTCAGAAATGTATTGCTCATTGTTCGCTCATGTTAGATAATATATTAACTAATGAACCTTATTGTAAAGTGTCACTGATATATCTAACATTCATTTAAATGGCTGCTTTATGCTTGTGTGGAAACTGTGATACATTTAATTTTTTGATGAATAGAAAGTTTAAAAGAACAGCATTTATTGAAACAGAGTCTTTTGTAACATTATAAATGTCTTTGTCACTTTTGATCAATTCAATGCGCCCTTGCTGACCACAAAACTGTTAAATGGTAGTATATATAAAAAAAATCAGTAGAATAACTCAATTCTTCTTCAAACTGTGATCAAAGCCTGAAATCAAATACTTCTCATTAAATTCCTTTTAAAGCAAATAAAAATAATGTTATTCACATCCATTTATAGCTCTACACTTCGCTTCTAGGAGAAAAGCATGAGACGGATGAGAAAGCTCGTCACAAGCACTGGTTTTTACAGTAACTACATAATGGACTCCTGAAATACTGTCGCATCTTGAGCTTCTGCTCGCTATAAACTAGCGTTTGCATCTGAGTGTGTAATTAAAGCATCGATGAGCGCTCCGGATCACGTCCTCCACCGTCCATCACTGGATGAAGGAGAAATACAGGCATCTTCGGGGTTTTCCTTCACTATTCAACGAGCACTCGACAGAAAAGCTCTGATGTTGAAGCGTTTAAAACGATAGTTCAGACAAATGTGAGAATTGTTCATATAGTGGCCATGACCGTCAAGCTTCAAAACGGACAAAAAAGCAACATATCATATAAATGACTTGTGCACTACTCCACGTTTTTAAGCCGTACGATTAAATGCAAAAAAAAATCTGTGAAATGTACATTAAAAAAAGGCAGCTGTGGTTGCCAGAATTTTACAGTAAAAAATACAGTAGCAATATTTTAGGTTTTAAAGAGCTGAGGTAAATACTAATATACAGTATAATAAAGTATAGTAAAATAATGCAATACTGTACATAAGTGACGAGACTAAATAAGTGGATTTTGAGAATGTCAATTTAGGTTTTTTCACTGTAAATTATAAGATGACTTCTTATTTTAACAGTATTTGCTTTTATTAAAACGTCCCGTTAGTTTATCACCGTATATAGAAAGAGAACTTACTGAACAGGTTTTTATTGTAGAATTTATTTTAAAGAGCAATAAAGCTGTTTGTGAATGTAAAAGGTCTGCAAAGTTTTAAAGATCAAAGTGCACGACAAATAAAGTTATCGTCTCCTAAAAGAAAGAAGTGATTCTGAACTGTTGAAACGAGTCGTCGGTAATTCCAGTCTCACTTCCTGTTACAATGTAACTAATTTGCATAATTCCCGCCTGTGGTTTTGCGAATCACTTTAAAGCACTTCAGAAGGACGAGATTGCAGTAAAACCAACATCATTGTTACTGTTCGTATCACTAGCGCTGAGGTAGAGTTGGAAATCAGATATGCTAATGAGCATTTCGTTTTCAACATGTGCTGTAAGCAGTCGGCCAATCACAACAGACTGGGCCGTCTGACCAATCAGAGCAGAGCAGCTCTCAGAGAGGCGGGGCTTAGAGAGGCTGAATCTTCAAACTAACCGTTTCAGACCTTTTTATAATAAATGCGGTGATGTGCAGTGTATAATGAGAAAACATGAATGTAAACATATTGAGACTCAAAAACAGGAACACTTTAAAAACATATTTTCACAGTGTAGCTTTGAGACATAAACAAACCACAATTTGGTATTCAGAGACAATCTTCTCATGCACTTCAGCTCTCAAATTTCATTCTCCTTTCTGCAAATATTCAAACTGCTGTTGGTTCAGCGAAAGCATGTCAAACCATGACGCCAGACATTTTTAAAACTGAGATTTGTGAGGCTTATCGTGGGTTTTGTTTTATTTGTAGGTGTTCTGGACATTGTGAACAAGATCTCCCTAAAGATTATTAAAAAAATAAACAGCAAACGGGTTCGTAACAAACATGAGGGTGAGTAAATATTAAATAATGAATGAACTAAACCCAAACACTAGAGATCAAGGTCATCCTCCAGCCGAGCAAATGAAAGCCGCATGTAGAGACTCAAACTGTTCAAATTACCAGACCACGACCGATCGAGTGGGACCAGATCAATAATATCAAATGAGATGAAAAGTTATTTCATGGGCCTCCCAATTCAACACGCAGCCCAATTTTCTAAGCGCCTCTTATTAAAAATGCATCAAGAGAGCCTTGAAGGCAGCGCTGTTGTTTGGCCAAGGACATTATATGAGAAATAACTTCAAAGCCACGACTGCAACTCCCGCGGCCTTGTGTCGAAACACTGTTGATAGAAGAAAGCCACTGAATATTTGCATTCATGAAAAGAGCTCCATTATTTACCAATGTGACATTATGATGAATCGAGCAGATCTCAGAGCTGAACTACAGTAATCATGCTTTCTGTCCGACGGCATTTCAATCCCAGCCCTGTGTGACATTTACCTACAACACAACGAGGACTTCACATGCACAACGACCTGCTGTTGTTGTTTAGCACACGAACATGCACACGAAAGCTGGAATGAATACGAGGGAGGCTAATGTTAATGTCGTGCTGCGGCAGCACAACTTCATTCTATGGTTTCCATTAGACTGAGTCACTAAACACTCGAGTTTAAAGGTGTTTTTGGAAGTAAAAATGGGTTTAAACAGCAGCGTGGGGGATGTTTTACTCATCCAGTCGGCTTCGAGTCACGTCAAATTAAAGAAGGATTTCATACTGTGCAATCTAAACACACACATCTATCAAAATGCAGTTCATTATTTGACACACAACACATATATCCAGTATATTTATTCTTCTCATGTCACTAGTTTTACCCTTCGAGTCGCTATATGTGACAGTTCTGAGTCTCTCTGTGAGGTTTAGTCTGCCTGTTATAAATCTAATGCATAAACAACATATGAAGAGCATCAATCACGCCTGCTGTCCTGTTCTACAAGACCCTTGCAACCGGTGCTTTTCATTAAAGCAAAGCCCTGCAGGAATCCTGAACTGTGCACTTCATTAACAAGATTAATAAGACCAGTTATTTTATACAGTATGAGAAGAGAAACGGTATCAGAGTTGTCAGAGTAACTGGAGAAATATAAATAAATGCTTCGTCAAATGGAGCATTTTAGGGGCAACTGCAAAAAATGTTACAGGAAAACAATGAAAGAAACATGAAATCAAATCAATCCATCCACCTCATATTTACCCAACTCTCCCTAAAATCCTCCATGTTACTGCAACAAATATGATTAAATATATATATATGATGTGACAATGTTACAAGTATTACAAGGCTGGCATCCTGGTATATATTTTACAGGTCCTTATGTCATTCAGTTTTATAATATTAACTTATTTGAGCTATTAGAATGTGTTACTGTAAAATTTACTGATAATAATAATAAAAGTGGAAGGCCATATGTAACATAAAATGCCCTGATAAGAAATTTATGAAGAAAAAAATAAGTTTTAAAATAAATTCTAAACAAATGTGATGATTCACATAGAGGAAATTGTGGAAATGCCTCTTTAAACATAAATGGAGGCATTTTTTTTTTTTTTTACATTTTTACTGTAAATCTATACATTCGCATTGTTGAATAGGCTACAATAAAAAAAATTCCTTAGGAAAAACTTACAATACTTTAAAATGCCATGTTTTATCTTTAAATGTAGTGTATGTTACGTTCACACAAGAAATATATTAGTCACTTCAAAATACAAAAATGCTACATAATGCATTAATATCGAGAGATAGATAGACAGACAGATAGATAGATAGATAGATAGATAGATAGATAGATAGATAGATAGATAGATAGATAGATAGATAGATAGATAGATAGATAGATAGATAGATAGACTTTTGTTCACTTCCATTCAGATCTCTAGATTTTGATGAGAACTGAGAATGAAATGAGAACACAGTTGAGAACCGGGACAAAACGAGAACAAATTAACAAAAAACGCGCTTTCTCCCCATCAGTGGTAACGCACTCGACTAGAGAACGCATATAAAAAGCCTGTGTTTGTTCCGAACGCATATGAATGCAGGTGTGCCCAGCAATGCACAGATATATAACTGAGGCTCTGTAAACTATGTTTTTGCGTTTTTCCAGATCGGATCCAGAGACACCTGCAGCCCCTGGAACAGCAGCACTTACCCTGAGCACACGACAGTGCACAGCACAACACTATATTCCCAATGATAAATCCAGTTTTAATCGTCATCGTGGTAGCGCGAGCGCATCTGATAAATCCTCTATTCGAAAGCACTAAAAATCCTCGGCATCCATCATTATCATCTGCTCTCATACTGTCAGGTGTCCGGCAGAAACGGGTATTCCTCGCGCTGGAGAGAGAGAGACTGATCTGGAGTCAGTCAGCGCTGGATGTATGAGGAGACCAACAGCAGCAGAACCTTGACGAGGACTCAACCATCTCGCCAACAGGGGCACAAAGTATTCTCTGTACTCCTCATACGAGTCTCCTCAGTGCTCACTTACACACAGCGCATGCCGCTTTCAGTGCATCTCTAATGAACGCATGCATTCGCTTCTCATGCGCGCGGCATTTCACAACGAGTCGCCACGCGCGCGCGCGTTCCTGTTTAAATGTTGCAGTCGCATCAACCAGAAGCGACGTCTGAACGCTTGGAAAAGTGAATGCATGCAATCGGCGACATCGGTGCATCGTCATTGATCACATGCAGGATAATATATGTTTTTAAAATGAAACGGATTGCCAACTGCGCGCTTTCAATGTTTCTGTTTTTAAATGTTATTGGTAAAAACATGCATGCAATCAGAGAATTGCCAGCGCACGTCAGATTCAATGCATATTGTAACGTTTTAAATTGCATTTACAAATAGTAACTGTTCAAATGAACATGCATCAACTAAAGCAATATCTACTCTAATAAAGAGAAAGAGAAATAGCACGGTCACTATACGTGCCTAAAATGTAATTTTGCAAGTAGTTGCTTTTGCACACATTACTATTTAAAATGTTTGCAATGCACAACGCAAAAGCAATGCCAGTAACACTTAATATAGAGTCCTTGTTAAACATGTTACATGTAGTTACTATAGTGATTACTATAAATTGTGCATAATTGCAACTAACCCTAAACCACAACATAATCTTAAGTACAACGTAGACGTAGTTGATTATTATTACTCAGTACTTAATATATAATTACACAGTAAACGGACACCTTTGAATAAAGTGTAACCACAATGCATAATTCTAATAAATGCACATATGCAATGCATTCAAAAAAAGTGCTTTGTCATTAAACACTGCATGAAATGCACAACACGCGTTTTATTTAGCATAAAGTTGCACTTTTATGCATTAACGCATTTGCACTGCATCTACTGAAACCAATGCATTAGTTTATGTTTTGCATTATCATAATCAGTCCATTCCAGCACTTCATTAAAAGTGGGAGAGTGCCCAATTTATCTATGTTTAGCCCCCCTAAGGTACATTTAATCAACGGTGGGATGTTAGAGGGAGTCTTCCGCCATCTGTAGGTTAGGACCACTTCTGTTCCACACACACAGAGAGAGAGAGAGACACTCTCTCTCACTCACTCTCACACACACACACACACACACACTAACTCTCACACACGCGCGCACACATACACACACACACAGCCAACTTCTCATTACCCTCTCTCTAATAAAACTAATACTCAACACACACTCACTCACACACACACACACACAAACACACAGCTGTGTTTTTGTGATATATGAGGACATTCCATAGGCGTAATGACTTTTATACTGGACAAACTGTGTATTCTATCCCCCTACACTGCCCCTATCCCTAAACCTGCCCATCACAGGAGACATGCTGCATTTTTACATTAAAAAAAAAAAACATTGTTTTTTAAGCTATTTGAAATATGAGGACTCATGCAATGTCCTCATATATCACGTGTAAGTTGTAATACCAGTGTAATATGCATGTCATTATACACATTTGTGTCCTCATATATCACAAAAACAAGAGCACACACACACACACACACACACACACACACACACACACACACTCACAGCCAACTTCTCTCTTACCCTCTCTCTAATAAAACTAATACTCAACACACACACACACACACACACACACACACACACACACTCACAGCAACTTCTCTCTTACCCTCTCTCTAATAAAGCTAATACTCAACACACACACACACACACACACACAGGTCAGTCGAGAGCTGTCCGTGGTGCTGAATTAATTACTGCACACTATAGATTCCAGAACATCCTATTAAGGAACAGTTCACACAAAACATCATTTACTTGACATCAATCTCACTAAACGATCAAAATGTGATGCTGTTTGATATTCAACCACAACTAATGTTCAATACAACAATCAGTTATGGTCACACAAGGCTTTAAAAAGGTCAACAACAAAAAACTTATTTAAGTCTTCTAAAGATATGCGATATATGTGCGAATATTCACTATAAATGATTCATCTTCTCCTCGGTAGATTCTTTGTGCTGAGAATATTAAAACTTTGGCTTGACCTGACATCAAAACTATAAAAGGTTTTCAATTTATTTGATTTAAGCAAAAACACTTATGAGGGGAATTAACTACTCATTCAATCTAGCGTTGCGACATAATCAGCGATGATACATGATAAAATATAAAACTAATAACTAAAAGGGAGTTCCCTCTTCTGCACATCATGCAGCGATAACCAATGGGAGTTGCAGTGAAGTTAGAATATAAACTTTGTAAATGTCTTGTCTTAGATGTATAAAAATGCATTTGGGAAACTCTTTTGTTGTAATTTCCATCACCAAATCACATTGACTTTTATAAGACTTTTACCATTGCTTATCAACCTCAGAGCTTGAAAGTGTATATGTTATCTTAAAAAAACAGGATTAAAGAAAACATGCTTTTTATCAAACTCTTGATTTTGTGTTCAGGCTCTACTAGAACAGGTTTTCCTGCTTGAATGTTTGATTATTTCCCTCATATTCTCCATTGTTGCGGCTCCTCTCTTCCCAGTCTGTCAGTAACGCTCTGTTTACTTCCTGTCTCTATGAAGCCCCTCCTTCTGAAAAGCACACTGTGCTCTGATTGGTCGGCTGGAGCAGTGTGCTGTGATTGGTCGAGCGCTTTGAGTGTGTTTGGGAAATGTTCCGCCCCTTCCCATAACCGCCAGTTTAACACACTACTAACTAACTCAACCAGGCCCCGCCCCTTTATTCTGCGCATTAATTATTATAATGAGGAATATTGTGACGTGTTCGTTCCCGGAAGAAACTCAGGGAGTTCAGAAACACTGACTCTGATATAGAGAATAACTTTTTCATGCTCAAACAGCAACATTACACACACTAAAGAAAGATGAACATGGGAAAAGCTCTTTAAAGTCCCACTCCGATCATATTTTGAGCTATTTTTTAAACATTCAGTGGTCTTTAAATTATGATTATGCCCTTTTTAGCCAAAATCACAAAACCTGTGCCGTTTTCTGGGACTTCGCTTCAGCAGAGCGGCAGTTGCTCATTAGCAATTCGCCTCTGCGTTGTGGGCGGAGCCGTTGGCACGGAGACGCCCCTCCCCCTGCCCGTTGCTGAGAGCTCTGTCTCTCCCGCTAGCTTACACCCCCAATACCGGTGGGGCAACAGTATTATATACACGTTCATTATTATTATCCGAAGTTAATCAAAGTTATCACCGATCACCGATCATTATTTCACTCCAAGACGTCGCGTGTGGAGACGCCCAGTGGAGTTACTACGTCACAACTCCAGTCTATTTTAGCCAGCATTTTAGCGTCTGCTACTGATTCACAGCCATTTGAATGTAGAAATACTCAGAAATACAACTTTGAGCTGATTTTACTCAAGATATGTCCTCTAACATCAGAAAAATGCCACAAGAACATGTTAACACCTAGAAAAACATTATTTTCATCGGAGTGGGTCTTTAAGTAGGCCTAGTTGTGTAATTTAGTTTTTAATGCAAGTTCTTGATGTTATTCTGAATGATTCATCAGTTCACAATTATTCCAAAGAAAGTATTATATTAGAAAGTATTATTCAAATGTTTTCTTTGGAATAATGTAAATTGCATAATCGCAGAAAGTTGTTCGATTTCCAGAAAGTGTTGAACAGGACATTTGGACATAAAGCTCAACCGGACCCTTTAATTCGCCTCGGCTGTTGTGCTCTATTGAGCCCTGCACATGCTATTAGAGAAACGCTTGTAAAAAGCACAAGCAATAAGTTGTACAGGCGTATCCAGAGCCGTCATTGTGCTCTATTGATACATATTGCATGACATGAGAACGCCAGACGCTTTTAGTCTCGAGCTGCCGATAGGTGAAAAACATCTTTTGAGTTACAGTCACTTTAAATCAACTGAGAAACCAAGACAAGCATTTCTCTAGACTCTGATACAGTGAAAGCTGTGCACGTCTCACACACTCCAGCCGAGGATTAGCCCACACACTGCAACAGCACCACTGCAATAACACCCTCTGTGTGATACATGCTCCTGGATGCAGAGCGTGCTGCTCTTCGGTGATTTATTTCTAGAGCAACCCATCTGGCCATTGATCTGGTGGAGGCCTCGCTGAAAACTGGCTCGCTGTCAAATATTTCTCTCATATCAATACTTTTCACAAACTGAAAATAGATAAACAAGCAGTGTTGAGGGTTATGTGTTACACAATCAGAGTATTTTTTTCAATGCATCGCTTGTTAAATGTGCGCCACTACATGCATTTTCTGATCAATGTGATTGAAAACGTCGGGATTAACATGTTTCAGGTGTGCATGATTCAATAAATTCACATTTATTTGTATAGCGCTTTTCACAATACACATCATTTCAAAGCAGCTTTCCAGTAAATGCATGAGTCCACATTATAATGTGCACTGATCTGTTATCAGAGGTAAATGTCTAAGTTATGTATTTCAGAAATGTACATTTCAGCTAAAAATGCATTAAATTAAACAATGTTATAATTTAAGGCAGAAACAACGAGCTCATTGAAGTAATGAATACTTGTTTGTTTACAAATGATTATGACATTTAGAAAAATGGCATAATCATGACATAATTATGACAAAAAATGCATAATAAATGATGGGAATTAAAGTTCTGGAGACATGCACAGCGGGACAAACACTTCTTTCGGCTCACTCTGAGATTTATGTTTTAGAAATGCCAAAATACAGCTGGTAAGCAAAAATAAATCCGGGCATTTTAACAGAATCGGGTTATACTTGTTATTTGTGACAAAACGGCCGAGTTTGGGGTTTGCCTGGATTCGCTCTGCCCTGGAGCTCGAGGAACGGACTGTGAACTTCACCAATGCAATTTTCATGGAACGGCCGATAAACGATTGCATGCAAACATGACTGTGGGCGACAGAGAAGAAACAGCAAAACACCTCGATTCTGGAGCAGAGAGAGTCTCAGTCAGACAACAGGAGCACTGAGCGGTCTATAAAGTTATAATTTCATAAATTATAATATTATATAAAATAACATTAGTAGTATGTAACAGACAGGGAAAAGAATA